GTTTCTAGAAGTTCTGTTCTAGTGAACCATCTGTCGTCCTCAGGTTCCTGGTAAGCGAACCTGACTTTATACTGCTTCTGGGGACGACCTCTACCTCCCATGCGGAATACATCTTCTTCTAGTATCCGGTCTATGTCATAGGTGCCATCCATATCTGGCAGAATAATGGATCTCCAGGAAGGAAACTGTTCACTAGTGACACAAGGTAGCAACTTTGATGCATGAAAGACCGGATATGTATGGCGGTGAGCTGGAATTTCTATCGTATATGATGGTCCATCCTCTCCGCCTTTCACTTCTAGGACAGGCCACAACCCTCTATACGCGGGAAAGAGCTTCTGTGAGATGTTTTCTTCTGGTGCAAATTCCTTTGACTTGACCCAGACTAAGTCGCCTACCCTAACTGCGAGGGTCTGGGATGCTTATTCGCTTGTTCAATCATGTGATGCTGGGCTTTTCTAAGGTTTCCGATCACCTTTTAAACTTCCTTTTCGAGCTGCAGAGCAAACTCTCTTGAACCGGGAGGTAACCTCTGAATTTGGTTCCGGTTTAGTCCTTCAAATGGCCTACGTGGTCCAAAGGACTTATGCAGCTCGTCAAGAGTTCTGGAAGTAGCTAAGTGTACGCTATTATTATAGGCACTAGCTACTTGGGGAAGCATCTCATCCCAATTCACTCGATCGGATCTAATATACATTATGTGTAACTGCCGCAAGATCTTATTCATTTGTTCGGTCTGGTCGTTTGTCTCTGGATGATGACCTGACGACATCAACAGCTTAGAGCCGTAGACTTTGATGTCATGACCTGACCAAACACGGACTGAGACACACAACTGATTTATGAGTTTTGCTCATGGACTGAATGCCTTGCTGAGTTTCCCACTTGTTACTGAGTTCTCTATGTGTGTGCGCGCTTGCTGGTCTGCATGTCTGTCTGAGTGCTTGTCGGCTTGAGTGTGTGTGTGACCCGCAAGGGCACTTGTTCATTCAGTGGGCCCGAAGGGCCGGTACGTACCTGTGGCCATGACATTGAGGATGGCAGCGGGGGAAAACACTCAAGTGGTCCTCGACTAGGAGGAAGGACATTCATTGCTCCCGGCTGACCGGGAGCGCGGTATTGTCAATCTATCTCCCTATTACTAATCCCCTCCCTTCCTCTTGCTGATTTCTCTCAAAGATCTCATCTTTTTCCTCTTCCTTTATCTCCTCCCCATCTCCCCTTCTCTCCTCTACCCCCCCGCCTAATCGGTCGCATCATCCAAAATTCCTAATGCGCATGACACATATTCTCTCTTTCAGGGTTTGTTGGACAATGCTGTCCATCCTTTCGTTCGAAATTTTGATCTAATTCGATAGGATTAATCTTGATTCCCTTCCCTCCTAACGCCGTGATCGGAACTAATTCCGGCGTTTATATCAAATCCCTTTCTTAATTCAAATTTAAAATTTGACTTTATTTCAAAAATTCATGAAATAAATTTCGGAAATTTACTAAATTCAATTCTTCTGATATCAAATTTCCTTCTATTCTCTATCTCCCGTAAAATTCCGAAATTCTTCTATTTCTTCTGAAATTCTTTTGAAATTCTTTTGATTTTTTTTGAAATTCATCTTAATCTTGTAACAAGTCTAGAAATTTTGTTGATTTGATCTACATAATCCTGGAATTTCTCTCAACCTACTTTGCATGGCTATCACTAACTCTTTATGAAATTTCATCGTAAATTCTTAATTTAGGAATTATTTTTCTATTTTTATTTCAAATTACCTTTGAAATTCCTTTAATTCCGGAAATACATCGAGGACTTTTTCATTTTACTTCTAAATTTTCCTCTCAACTCATCTCTACCTCTTCTATCATCTCCCTGAACTTTTGGAAATTTTTATGAATATTTTTGAAATGCGTTGACTTTTGCTTCAATTTCCTTAGAAATTCTGAATTTACGACCAAATAATTTCGGAATTTTATTCTGACCTCGTGACTGTCTTATGCATGCTTTTCTCTATACCCCACGCCATCCTTTCAAAATCTCCTCTCATTTCCTCGCCTGAATTGGAAATTTCCTTCTCTCCCCCTCACTCCGACTTTGAATTTTCTTGATCTAATTTCGGACGTTCGTTAGACTTCATTTCTACTCGCCTTCCTCTCGCAGTCCCTTACTCCCCTTCTGCGTGTCACCCTGGCTCCCCGTGACATCCAACAGCGCGCACTCCAAAATCGCGCTCGAGACGCTCGTGTCGTCAATCGACTCGCTCGCTTTGAGGCACCGACCACGGCCACAGATCGTCCTCTCGTCACGGTGCTCCCTCGCCATTATCTTCATCTTCTTCATCTGTTGACTCCATGCAGAGTGCAGAGTCGTTGAGCCCCTCCCGCTCCATCAGTGAAGGGCTTGCGTTACTAGCTCGCGATACCATGGCTGATTCGGCTCACATTTCCAMCCCTATGGCCACCAATTCGGGTCCAGCTGCCCAATCGGATCGCCTACTGGCTCTCCTCGAGAACATGCAGGCCAGATTCGAGGCCAGACTCGAGGCCAAATTCACGGCCCTCCATACCGACTTTTAATCCCTGTCGGCCCTCGTGTCACAGCTGGAGCCCCGTACCAGTGCACCTCCCTCCCCACCCCCCTAATCTGCATCTATGCCAGCTTCCTCTCCTTCTTCGGTTGGCGTCATCTACACACTTGTCTCTTCCACGGGTTGCATGTCCTCACCCCAGTCCCACCCTTCCTCTACAGCAATTTCTTCCCCCCAAGTTTCCACCCCAGCACCTCCCTCCTCAGGACCCATGACATCTTGTCCCGCCACCTCCTCGACGTTAGTTTCCACGGCACCTGCCTCATCACCCCCTGCTCCTTTGCCCCCCCCCCCACCCCCTCCCACACCTAGGACACAAAATGCTGAGCTCCAACGCCAGCTCACCCTGACCCATGATCACATCCGCCAGCTCCAAAGAGGTCAACCCCTGCCTCCCCACCTCGCGACACAGCCTGTTGCCCCTACCGACAACATCAAACACAGGCCGCTGCGATGCATTTCACTCTCCCACCACTGGCCACCACGATGTGTCAGGGACCTTTGCCCCAGCTTCCCACTCTTTCTAGTGCTCTTGCTGGTGCCACTACTTCTTCTGCCCTCTTGTCACAGTCGACTCTTCCTCTCCCTAACCATTATCGGCCCCCGATGTATGTTCCACAGTTCCAACCGGATCGCCCCCCACAGTTTGACGGCAGGGCCTCCGAGCTCCAAGGATGGATCTCTACTGTTGAGGAGCAGCTTCGCTACCATGGTGTCGCCATGAAACTGTGGCCCGTCGAGATGTCCTCTCGCTTTACAGGTCGTGTAGCCTCCACCTGGCGCGACTTCCTCGCCCTTCGCTCACAGCGCAGCGTACATGAGGGCATGTCTTATCCTGAGTTTCGCGACTTCCTTCAGCAGTACTTTTCTCGCCTTGCGCCAACCCGCGACCCGATTACCCGTGTGGCTGAGATCAGATGGCTTGGTGGCAACAATGCCTTAAAGTCATACATCACGGCATTCCACGGTGTACGCGCCCAGATTCCCATCACAGCCATACCCGAGGACACCATGATCCAGCGATTCCGTGCAGGTCTACCCCAGCCATTCCAGTTGCAAATGATGGCATATTTTATCCCCACCTTACCAGAGGCTTTCAACATAGCTAGGGCCATTCATCTCAGTTATGCTCCACTCGTCGGCCCCTCTCCTCAGCCCGCCGCTGCCCATTCCGCTACTACTGTAGGCCCTCGCCCCTCCCAGCCTCGACAGTCTTCCACATATCGTCGTGGCCCTCGTAGAGGTTCTGGACAATCCCTCTCTCGCCACTTGCATGCCCTGCTTTGTGATCCGTCGAGCGTTGATGATGGCACCGCCTCAGATGGTTCAGTGAGTGACCCAGACCAGGGACCCGACCCTCAGTCCCCCGCAGAGGACGACGCCTCTTCCCAGGACGACCGCCTCGTCCGAGCCCTTTCCGCCCTCCTCCGTCGCCAGCCCTCATCCTCCAGGACTCGCTCTACCGTCCCTCAACTACCCCTCCCAGGGGACTTTGTCTTCCCTCGCAGCCGCTTGACCATCGCTGAGAGTGAGGACCTTCGTACACGAGGCATCTGCACCCGCTGCCACCTCGCCGGCCATACCTCCTCTACGTGCCCGTACGCAGACGCCCTCCTGAGTCACTTCGCACAGCAGGCTCGCCCTCAGGCTGTTCCCTCGTCTCGACCTCCAGCGCAACACCCACGTAGCCGCGATGTCTCATTCCCCAGACCCTCCTACGGTAGCAGGCATACCCGCTCACAACTCTACCTTTGTGTCGCTTGCTACTCTTCCCGGCGACTTTGGCTTGACCTTATCTTTGGCTGACACTACCGACACTAGTATACCTTCTCCTTCTTCGCCTAGCGTCTCTTGTGACCCCCCTCCTCCACGTCCTCCTACCAGGCGTGCTCTTTGCACGGCCCGCTGCAGTGTTTCCCTTATTGCAGCTGAGGATATCATCGACTTCCTGGACCTCGAGTGTGTTAAGGTCCTTTAGGAACATATCCGCCTTAAAGAGCACACCCTGTCCGCGATGTCTCAATGCCTACACAATCCTAATCGCACCTTACCAATTATTCCGGTGCGCCTCGGGACCTCTACTAGAGTGTATCGCGCACTATGGGACTCTGGCTCTACTGGCGACTTCATTCATCCTCGCGTAGTTAAGGAGGCATCTCTCTATACGTCCCCCTACCCTTCCACTGTCACTATCACACTTGGCGACAATCAGGCCAAATCCTTCGTCGACTGTGTGGTGCCTGACTATTTCAGTATGTGTGTGTGTGTGTTTGTGTGTGTGTGTGTGTGTGTGTGTGTGTGTGTGTGTGTGTGTGTGTGTGTGTGTGTGAGAGAGAGAGAGAGAGATGCAGATAGAATATTGAATCTTAACGGATGTTCTTTTTTCTTTTTTCTGGGTTTGCCTGTTTGATGATGCAGGCTTGCGCTTTCCGGGATGCGTACCAGGACCTCCGCAGGGCAGGTGCAGTGGTGATCGGTGTCAGCAGTGACAGCCCGGAGTCCCATAAGGTAAAATACCCTCTCTTCTTTTCGCTTCTCCTTCCCGGATGTGTCCCACCATAAGAGACTGGAGCACTATTCAAGAAAAAAAAAAGAAAAAAAAAAAAAAGATATGTCCCACTACTCTTCCCCGGGGCGAGGTCGCAATCGCAAACAGGATTGGATTAAGCGTCTGAACCTGGACATGTTCTACGCAGAGATGCAGAAAAGCAGATCAATCGCAATTTTGTGCACGTCAAACACGTCCAGATTCAGACTTTGAATCCAATCCTCTTTGCGACTGGGACCTCGCCCCCCGTTTTGTGCATTGGGTCTATAATGTCATATAATATTGTAATTGGTAATTAGTAATTAAAATAATTACAATAAATCTTTTATCATAATGCCTGAGAGGCATGGCCTCCCACTGCCTCCCAGCAACAGATTCTTTTTTTTTTATTCAAAAGCAAGGGGCCCTGAGGGCTTCATTATAAAGCTGAAGATGAGGCCGGGAATCCCTCAAACAAAACAACCCGGAAGCATAGTCTGAAATATAAGCACCGAAGGGTGCAAGATCACTGAGATACCGCAGGTGTTGGGATTATGATCTAGGGACAGAAATGGCCAAAACCAGACCGCTGCCCTGATGTTCCACAACCCTGAAAGACTCACAAAGAAAAACGCCACCAAGGCCTAAAAAAGGCCTAACAAACCAGAACCCTTCATCAACTAAAATTGCCACCAAGGCCTACAAAACCCAAAAACCAAAACGTACCAAAGCCCCTTACCATCCTACGCTACATGCAACAGCTTACTAAATGAAACTACCATGTTTATTATGCTAACACTAATAACCTGTCTAATACGACAGGGTGTCTCAATAAGACACAAGCTCTGGACTAGGCACTCCCTCCCCGAGCTAACCCACAGCCTGTCTACTGCGACAAAAGCAACCGAGTGCTCAGGAACGAACCTACACAATAAAGAGTCCCCAAGTACCCGTGTTCCATTCTGCCTGACCGCTGCGACCAAGCCTGCAACCGAGTCCCCAGTTTGAGAGGATTGCCTCCTTAAGATGATACGAGCCAATCATCGAAAATCACTTTGTTGCCTTCTACCTTTGCCAACGATCCTTGTAGGCACCACGTGTCCTCAAACCACCTCAAAGAGCTAGGCAGAAATCTTGTGTTCAGCACTTTGCGTCTCCAATCTGCCAGAATTGCCTGTCTCACGCCATTTTTTATCGTAGTTCGAATTTGCTTATCTGTCCATTCTTTCCCTTCAAAGATCCTATCATTCCTTCCTTGCCAGATCACTGAAATTAGCACTGCTCTGGCGACTTGAGCAACATACCCCCATCCTTTTCTTGGGGAGAGGTGTGCCGGTAGGCCTCCCAGCAAGGTCCAGTCCTTATCCCAGGGTAAGCACTTCTCTGAAATTCTGTCCCATTTGTCTGCCCACCAACTCCAGCTTCTGTCTGATGCAGGACAGTCCCACCACAAATGAGTGGTGGATTCGAAAGCCCATTGGCACCTTAAGCAAGTCATTTCAATTTTCATTCCATATTCCACCAGCCGCACAGTCGAGGGTGTTGCAACCATTGAGACGAGCCACAGGATTGCAGCTTGATGTTGATTAGGAATCAGTTTTAATTGTTTCCAGCATTTACGCAGTGCTGCAGCAATTCGAGATGGTTCTAAGGGGATTAGAGCCTACCATCTTGACGTGGCAGTGATCAGAGGGTCTCGGGAAGGGAGGCTCAGACTGTATCCTAGTTTTTGTGAATGGTCTAAGATACATAACTGCTGACCCTGACGTCCGGAGGCTCGCCATTCCCATTTCTTGGGATCAAGTTTCAATTTCGCAACCGGTTTACCTTTGGCAAATAAAGCCATGACCATCTGATTTCCCTTTTGGGGATTTTCTATTACCCGAATCTGGGTAAAGATTGTCCCTACCAGTGGCTGGGTCTGAATTTCGTCTCTGTGTATCTGGAGCTGGTTCTCATTGGTGATGTGCCATCCTTGGAAGACTCTTTGCCCATCTGATTCGATGTGCATCAGCTTCCATATCTTGGAGGGTTGAGCACATTCGTTAGCGATATACCACGTCCCAGGGGGGTCTGGGATTGATGAGTCCAGTCTGTCTTTCCAGTCATTTGGAATGACTTGAATAAGCCGATCTCTTTTCCCCATCAGATCACGTACCTGTCCCAAGATCTGTCTAAGGTCAGGTTCTGTCATCCAGGCACCCTTGAGTTCATCCCATAGGTCGCTGATCCGGAGTATACGCCTTTTTCAGTCCACTATCTTCCAAAGCTTCCGGATGCCGTGTCAGCCCCGAACCATTTCCCAGATGGTGAACAAATGTGAGGATTTTCAAACAGAGGTTGTTTGAGCACCTCTGTCTTTGTTGTTGGTTCTACCCATTCGTCCGGACTCAGAGATCTCCAGGCTGAGACTATGGGTTTCCAAAATGGCGACTTGATGAAGCGACGCTGATAAGAGTGCAGCATAAGACATGTCCACGTGTCTGCTGGACAGGTTAGGTTTCATTCTTCGAACAGGATGTGTTCGGCAAGCGTAACCCAGTGGGGTTCGGAAGAGTCAAGAGCAGCTTTAATTAGCCATTTCACCAGCATGGCGTCATTTTGCTTTTTGGCGTCCAAGATACCGCGTCCTCCTTGGTCGTGGGGGAGAAAGCATTTGCCACGCTACCTTGGAGATGAAGGATTCATCTTCTTTCGCCTGAGGTTTCCAAAGGAATCGAGCGACCCTCTTCTTAATTAAGTTATATAATTGTTTACCAAAGCCTCTCACTGTCCCCACAAACCACAACAAAGCAAAAAGAGCCCCATTGATCACTAACCCTCTTTCGAACAAGGACAGATGTGGCGCTTTGCCCCATGTTGTTAGTCTCTGTAAGTTTTTTTGCAACAGAATTTCATCCTGGTCCCCTGCACATGACAGTAGGGAGATCTGGACCCCAAGGAATCGTTCGGACTGATGTTTATTAACCCTTCGCATCCCCAATTGTACCGTCAGTTGAAAGGAAGGAGGTAATATGAAGACGGATTTGTGCCAGTTAACTGCGGCTTCTGATAGTTCATAATATTCGTCCACACAATTTTTCAGTGCCAGAAGATACGCGGGTGAATTCTCTGAGACCGCAAATAGATCATCAGCTATAGCCTTGACCCTGTATTTTGAGTTTCCCACTGGGAAACCACGAATTTGTGGATGCGCTCTAATGTTGTTTAGCAAGCCTTCCATTTGTATGGCAAATAGGAGGGGGGCTAACGGACAACCCTGACGTAATGATCTTCTTAGCGCGAATTCCTCAGATAACCTCCCATTAATTAAGACAACGGTGGTTGACATTGAGTACATTGCAATTATCCATGTACAGAAGGATTGACCAAAGCCCATTATTTTTAGAGTGGTACGGACATAAAACCAATTAACATGATCGTAGGCCTTCTCAAGATCCGGGAGAAGGGCTATAAAATTTAAGTTCTCATTGTGAGTAATTTCTAAAGTTTCTACCGTTGTTTCGATATTGGTAAATATCGACCTGCCCTGAATGAAGGTTGCTTGATCCAAATGCACCAAGTCTGGTAGATACCTTCCCAACCTTCTGGCTAAAATTTTGGCCAGCAGTTTGTATGACACATTCAAAACAGAGATCGGGCGCCAATTACGAATCTCGGCTCTATCGCCCTTCTTAAATAAGACTGAGATAATACCCCTGCACATGCTTTCAGACAAATTTTCCCCAATTAGGATATTGTTATAGATTTCCACTAGGGGTTCCTGGATTTCATCCCAAATCGATAGAAACAGCTCAACCGGGAGACGGTCATCCCCGGGAGCCTTTCCTTTTTATTGATTTCAGTGTTGCATATGCTTCCTCCGGCAGAATCGGGCAGTCCAGGTCGAGTCGACCCGGTGAAGAAAGCCTTACCTTTGTGTTTTTCCAGTGGTCACTATGGAGATCTAGATTATCTACCACTATGGCCCCTTGACAGTGTGAGGTTAAGATATCCTTGCAATAGAGTGCAGCATAAGAGCACAAGGCTGTTGGGTCCTTTGTTTCGGGGGCAACAAAGTCAAAGGGGTGGGTTAATTCCCGCATGGGTATGGTAGAGCGACGAGGAAGAATTTTCTGAAATGACTCTTTCATCATTCTATCGTACACTATAATCCATTTGACTTTTAGATGCTCCGACCAGATTTCCGACTTGTGTTTCTGGAAATCATCCCATTCAGACATTAATTTAATCCTTTCCTTACTCCACACGAGGTTTGAAACTGGATGACAGACCATTCGCATTTCGGCGTACTCAATTTGCCTGATTAACGTCTGTTCATGACGATTACGGTTAATAGCTAGAATTCTCGAAAAAACAGACAATAGATTAAAGAACATTCGTGATCCTGTTTCCCACCATTCCGGCGTAGAGGAGTATGATTCTCTTGACATTTTCCAACTACCCCAAAATTCCTTCATCTAGGTTACCAAACCCTTCTCCTGAAGATTTTGGGTGTTTAGTCTAAAAATTCCTCGTCCTCTTGCAAACTGAGATGTTAACACGGTGAGAAAGACCGACTTATGGTCAGAGATGGGGGAAAACGATTCGGAGTTCTCTGTGATGGAGTCCCAAATATTATGGGAAACGAGGAAATAATCCAATCGCCTGCTGATAATGCCTGTTTCTTCCCTGGGGTTTGAGAACTAGGTATGTCCCTCCTTGTCCTGATGCGTTAAGCGATAGGGGTCAATCAAATCCAAAGAACTCATTAAATTAGTTAGTGCCAGTTTGTCACTTGGGCAATTTGACACTTGGGAGCAGTGGGTGATATGGAGGGAAGTATTCCAGTCACCGGTAATAATCAATTTATCGCTCTGTGGAATAACAAATAGAAGATCTTCAAAGAAGATACGACGAAGACGGGGGTCAGTGGGGGCTAGTACTGATATTGAATTAGTGGCTTAATCCAAGCCCACTGTCCCCATAGATCAGAGTAATA